TCTGGAAGGTTCTCCCATCTCCACAGAGGAACTTTGGAGCTCTGTCAGAGTGACCATCGGGTTCTTGGTCACCTCCCTGACCAAGGCCCTTCTCCCCCGATTTCTCAGTTTGGCCAGGAGGCCAGCTCTAGGAAGAGTCTTGGTGGTTCCAAACTTCTTCCATTTAAGGATGATGGAGGCCACTGTGTTCTTGGGGGCCTTCAATGCTGCAGACATTTTTTGGTACCCTTCCCCAGATCTGTACCTCGACACAATCTACGGACAATTCCTTCGACCTCATGGCTTGGTTTTTGCAATGACATGCACTGTCAACTGTGGGACATTATATAGACAGGTGTGTGCCTTTCCAAATCATGTCCAATAAATTGAATTTACAACAGGTGGACTCTAATCAAGTTGTAGAAATGTCTCAAGGATGCTCAATGGAAACAGGATACACCTGAGCTCAATTTCGAGTGTCATAGCAAATGGTCTGAATACTTATGTAAATAAGGTATTTCTGTTTTCGCTTTGTCATTATGGCGTAGATTGATGAGGAAAATGTTTTATTTAATCAATTTTAGAATAAGGCTGTAAAGTAACAAAATGTGGAAAAAGGGAAGGGGTCTTAATACAGTTACAGGCACTATAACTGCTCCCCGTGGGCATATAATATTAAGGTAGAGTATGGACACTTTTACGCACATCCAAAATAATAACGGGAGCAGGCTAAAATAATGATAAAAAGGGGATGTCCGCTCACTGTTTTGCTGCTCCCAAATTTGATGTTTTAATAAAGCTTTGGTGATTAAGATTTATTTCAAAGCGGTCTCACGAGCCAAACCCTTTATTGATAGGCTGCTATTTGGCGATTGCATTGGGCAGGATCCCAAAAAAACAGCCTTCATTGAGGGGAAGGGAGGGGAGGCTATGCTTTGTTTTTAATTAAATGAAACGAAAAACAAAAATTCTGTTTTTTAAAACAACTACCATATTTCTAAATAGGATGGGGTCACTAGTTTATTGTATATTACAGTGATTTTTTTTAAAAAAAATGTCTCAAAAATTAAATACAAGGGTCAGCTCAAGCTCAGTTAGATCTTGCTGTGAAGCTGTGTGTGTGCGTGTGCGTGTGTTTGTCTGCCATGACCGTAAACGTCTTGCTTAAACCATTTAAAACATTTGCTAAACAGCACCCCCGTTAGGCTAGTGCTGCCTCACTCTACCCGTGATATGAAAGTCTTTTTTGATAAAGCACGAACATGAAATAAACGATTTGGTATTATTTTTATTATGGAAGATTGAGTAAGTGTATATCTGTGCATGAGTGCATCCGACTCAGTTTCTCTACCAGAAAACACGCGATACCCACAAATTCAGGAGGAAACTGAAGAGCAGTTGGCTTGACACCGGTTTTGAAAATGTCAGCTCACTTGACAGTAGTAATTGAAACCGTGACGCTCAGATAAGAGAACAACTGACACCTTCTATGCAAAGTACAGTGCAGTGTGCAGCGGCCTTTGCTGACTGGTGATTGCCATTCACTTCCCATTTAAATGGTTTCGTTCCCTTGTATCCGTTCCTTCGTGAGAATTGCTAGGTGAATTAATATATTACTTTCACATAAATCACTCTAGGACCAGAGGTATTTAAGGAATTCAAATTGGAAAAGGATTGCATCTAATCTGAAGGCCACCACATGGGTTTACCTTGCTTCCCAAGTGCCCATTTGACACCTAACATTTTTTGGACAGCCCTGGGCCTCTTTGTCTAGCGAGCCCACCCTAGAACCTGCATGGCCTCTTTGGTCCATGGCAGCCTAGGCAATGTGTCCTCGAACATACAGTATGTCTTTGGTGTCCATTATCTATAATAATAAAAAATTATACTATGTGTATTATCTCTGTTGAATTGGGCAGACAAGGGATGGCTACAAACTAAAACTAAATGAAAAAGTCATTTCAATAAAACATACTACACTAGTTTCCAGCCATGTTAATTCATTTAGATATTTGTTTTTATGGCCTTATGTTCTTACTCCTCATCATATCTTTTGAACATATTATGGCATGGGCACAGCGTGACCAGCGGCACTAACTGTAAATATAACTGACTGTAAAAGCCCATAACATAACTGAAATACTTTATTAAATTCAGCTCAAACTAATTATGACATAACAAGCTTCATTTTATTCTTTCAAGGATGAAAACAGAAACTGTGTTCACATAATGGTAGCCACATGCAATACAAAAATATGAATTTTTACATGACATAAAAAACATGAATTGACCCATTCAAAAAGAAATGTACAGTATTTTTACAGTATTTTGTACATGAAAAAATATAAAGATATATACATCTGTAATAGGGGAGAAGTACCTATTTAAAAATGCAATGATGTATTGTACATATAAAATGTTTGTACAAATATTAAAATAGTTAATTAGCTGTACATTAAATAATGTATATACATGTATATCTTACATACAATTGATATCATCAATACATTTACTGCAGTCTTTCACTAAATCAACCCTACATGTTCCAATACAATACACTCACAAACAAACACACAAATACAAGCACACCAACTGAAGCTGGCCATCACTAATGTAATACACACAAGCACGCACAAGAGGTAATGTTTAAGGAGTAAATTATAGGACACTTTTGTGCCAGGTTCCTGTTCAATTTTTTTTGCGCTGTAAATGAATGTACTAAGCTATTGACCTACCTCCCTATACCACTCATGGGCTGAGAGAAGGCATCCCTGCTTCTCCGTGGCTCCCTCTTATGCATTTTAATAATCAGGGCACTCGCTTCATTATCAAATACCTTCATAAATAACCAACATGATTCCATTCCCAGTGTGTAGTGAGATGAGAGGAAGGTCACATTGCATGCTGACACCTCTTAACTGTGGTTTCAACATATTCATTCTTCATTTATGCAATGAGCTGTTTCAAATGTATGGTTTCATCAGATTCTACTCAGACAAGCAACTTGGAGACAAGAGTCAATTCAATCATGCTCTCCCAACTCCTGAGAACTGTCCTTTCAAACTTCATGGAACAAAAAAATAAACACTGCGAAAATGATTACTCAAAATAGGAACCAACAACTAAAGGTAAATGTTTGTATCTTATAGTTTTTTCTCCTGTTGAAATAATGTGTAGAGGTCGTGAGCAGGAGGCAGACAGAGGGCAACACGGTGACAGTGTCGCAGCGCATGCCATTGAAAAACTGCAGAGAGCTGAAGGGTAAGAGTCAAGAGGCAGTTGGATTACATCACTCAAGCAGCCCGAAGCTTCAAGACCACAATGAGAAAAGAGGAGTAGGGAGTGAATGCAGTGGTCCATTTAGGATAGGAGTTAAAACCATTGTTTTGGTCCAGCAAGTGTCTGGGTCGCGTCGTCTGGGAGCCCCCCTGGGAGCCCCCAGTAGGAAGAACCACATCACAGCAGCACAGACAGGAGGGAGAGCAGGGCAGGCTGCAGACGGAGCAGAGCACAGCAGAGCAGCCGTCAGGCTCATGCCACAGTACACCAGTCAGTCTCAGCACAGACAACACACGCCAGTTATTCACAAGCCTCACATAGTCCAAAAAGCAACAGTAGAAAAGAATGAAGGCAATCTGTTTTGAGACGAAGGAAGGAAAGTTGAGGGGAGGTAGTGAAGTACTACCCTTGGCCTCCTCAGTCCAGCACCCTTCTCTCCCACACAACGAAACACTACAGTTTAATAGATATGGAAGATCAGGCTGTGGGTTAGTTGAAGCAGTGTCTGTATCAGACAGAGTCAATGCTTTGATCAATCCTAAAAGTTAAGGATTTCAGGAGCATGCAAGGCAGACCCAGGCTTTGTTTTGCATTGCTTATGTTTCATAGTGACGGCTACAACCTATATTAGGAAGAGAGAAAACAGAAAGAGAGAGAACATAGGAAACATGGAGGTTAGAGACTGTTAGTGAAACTATAATAACAGGTTAACATTAAGAGATAATGATTTGAGAAGAAGACCGGTGCAGTAGAAGAGACAGGTAAATACTTCAACATGAAACAAGGGGCCAGATTTCTGCATCACAGAAAGCTCAAATGAGCCTTCTCATCACAAAAACCTATTTCAGGATTTACAAGCCCATGCAGTGTCCCAACAGACCATAGCAAACACCATGCAAGCTGGTAAGTGCTTCTCTTCCCATTCAAATTCTGGCATGCTATGCAGGCACACTTTGTTGGGGCATCAGTGGCATCATTACTGATAGTGTTGGCAAAGGACAGCTTGTTTGAAAACAAACAGAAGACCAGTAGCTAGCTCCACTAGCAGAACATTGTTGAACTGGTAGGGGCTGTTACTGGACAAGTAGTTAATGCGAGAGAAGACTCCACCCATGAACCTTTGAGTAACAGGCATGCAGTATGTAGTGAATGAGGAGTGACAGAGAGCTAGCAGGAGAGATATGGTAGGAGAGGAGTGAAGGTGGAGAGACAAATCTGGACCAGGTACTGTGTATCTAACATATGAGAAGAGGAGAGGGGTGGGGAGGTGTAGGGGTACAGAGCAGGTCAGGAAAATGTCCAGGAAAGGTAGGGACAAAACAATGCTTTTAAACAGAAAAGTACACTCACAGTCACATCCTGGAGGAGATAGAGTTTGGGAAACAGAAGATAAAACAGAAAATTCCCTTAGCATCACATATAATGGTTAATTTCTAAATGCTTCACCATTAGAAACCACCGTCCCTCATATTACAGCGGTCAACGTATCTGTAATGGACCGTCAAGAGGGTATGTGGCTCATGACTATCATGACTATAAACTACTACCTAGTCCCCATCAGTTTGACATCAGTGGCCCTAATACTGCACAGCAATCTGGGGGTCATCCTTTACATGCCTTCAGCTGTTTCATACACAAGTCCGTTCTAGACGAATCAGAACCCAGTGAGGGGTCAGAGTGCATGGCAGGGCGGGGCAGGCAGGACATGTCTTACTCCCATGCCTCCACCTCTACCTCCACCTCTAGGATACGTACTCTGCAGACTTCCAGAAGTGTCCAGGGTGGGACAGTCTCCGGTTGAGTTTGGGCAGCTTCTCCAGCATGTCAGCCAGCTGGGTGAAGGTGGGTCGCTCCCTCAGGTCATAGGCCCAGCAGGCAGACAGGATCTCCTGCACAGACATAGACAGGAAGGATTAACGTCATCACTTCATGCCAACACAATGCAGAGATGTATCCTGTACTTAGCTTTAATTTCTTCTCTACTCTATCAAGGTCATCCCTTAAAAACATAGCATTAGCATGAGCAAATATCCTCACTTACCCTGCTAGGATTAAGAAAGATGCAATATCCCCCCAAATGTATGTGCATAGATTTCACCAGAGCATGTGAGCGGAGTTGAGCAGAGGAAAATCCCGCTCATTTGCTCATGGAGTGGTGCTTGCGCACTGCTCTGCCACTCCATGTCCTTTCCAACCGCTCCGCTAAAAACTGCTCCGCGCTCATAGGAAAAAAAACTGCCGCTCCAAATTCACTCCATTCATTACATTACAATCACAATTTAACCAACACCCATCTATTTTTGTGCCTACCAGGACCTACCATTTGGTTTTGAAGTATTGAAACCAAACCACATGGATTTAAATGAAAAGTATTTGAATAAACATGAAAAGGTGAATGAAAGAAGCGCACATCATTTCAAATAGGCTACATATCATATTAAACAGCATATAAACTCTAAAGGCCAGTCTGTGGCTTCAGGCTCATGCGATGGTGCCTGGAGAGCAGGCCAGCAGCGGAGAATATCCTCTCCACACTCGCAGAGCCACTGGGGATGCTAAACACCCTTTGGCCACTCTGGGCAGGCAGGGCAGAGATGCAGAGATTTGTTTCTTTTTTTCTATAGGTAGGCTTTAAGTTTTTAAGCAAAATAATCCAATCAAAACGGAAAGCTCCTTGACTGTGGGAATATGGCAATATCAATGATTGCCTATTCTATAGATAATAGAATAAAAATGAAATAAACATTTAAGAGATCTGATTTTTAGTTCATAAATACTTTGCTACAATGACACACTTAGTTATCTACCTACCTCATTCCTTTCTTTTAGCATGTGCACGTAGTAAGTACACCATAATGCCTTCAGGATACGTGTCTTTTCAAATTCCACAATTATTCTTTAGTTGTGGACATTATATCACCGCACTCCCTCTCTTGTAAGTCACCTTGATTTAGCACCTGTGTGTTTTATCAGTTTCTTTATGAAAATATTTAGCGAACTCCATGACAGTAGCTAAAGCAAGGGGCTATAGCAGCACACAAGTAGACTACAAATGCATCCTGGGCCGGGCATGCCCTGAGTTTGTGAAGTGAGCGCTACTGGAGCGAAATTGGAGCGGGCGAGAAGGCCGACTCTCCAGGCTTTGGGAATCTCGCTCCGCGTTCCAGTCAAATTGGGCACGCTCCACTCCTTGCTCCGCTCCAGCTCCGCTCACATACTTTGTCTGGCACACAGCAGTGCTTCCCCCCTCCACTCACCGTGACCTCCTTGCCCAGGCTGATCTCTGCCAGGACCTTCTTGATGCCCTCGCCGCTCCCCACCTGCCAGATGGTAGCCTCCACAGGCTGGTTGGTGATAGGCCAGTCCCTAGCTTGGAGCTCGTACCAAATGGTGCTAAAAGGGGGCAACCAGCAATATGGTCATTCCCCAGATTCAGTTAACTGTAAAGTGAAGCAGTCTCAAAGAGAAAAACTATTGTGCTATCAAAGATAAAGAAAGGGTACTTCAGAATGTGCTTAGAGAACGTACCCAAAGGCGTAGACGTCTGCAGCGTTGGAGAAGGGCAGGCGGTCCTCGTTGTTTCCAGGGCTCATCCTGCGTACGATCTCTGGCGCCAGGTAACAGATCCAGCCATGTGGAAGCTTCAGCTCGTTGTCTCGCCTGTGAAGGAAGACACACACACACAATAAGAAACCACTGTTAGGAGAACACAGACCCACTCAGCATCCACCAGCTGAGATGATAGCTGTAGGAACCAATATGCAGAGTCCATACCTTCCCTCCTGAACCACTCCAGATATCCCAAACAGGCCAAAGTCTGTAATAATCACTTTATTGGTGTCATGAAAGACGTTCTTCGACTTCAAGTCCTTGTGGACAATGCCTTTGGCATGCAGGTAGCCCATTCCCTGTGTGGATTGAAGGAAGGAAATACGGACATACAGAAAATATATATTACACATACTGTATATGTCAACATTACCGATTTACCTGTACAAATCTGAAAGGACTGAACAGGAATAGAAGTTCACCTTTACAATTTCTTGAGCAATTTGCCTCGTCTTGTTTATATCCAGTGTGTTTTTGGTGTCCCGAACGACAGAGTATAGTGTCCTCCCTTTACAGAAACTGGAGAGAAACAAGTAAACCACAGCTGTGGTGGACTGAATATACCAAAGAGATATTCATTCTGGATGTAAGTTAGCCCCTCCCCCTACCTGGTGATGATGGCGAGGTGGGGCGGGGCCATGCAGGCTCCCATGAAGAGGACCACGTTCTCATGACGGGTCTGTCTGTAGTTCATCACCTCTTTCTTAAACAGCTTTAGGTGGTCCTGGTTGTTCCCATCTATCTCCAGCAGCCGGATGGCCACTTCTCCATGCCAACGGCCCTTATGAACCTTGCCCCAACGGCCCTGGAGTGAAGGAGGGAGTCATTTAATGACACTTTCAGAAACACACATTCAATGGCTTTGAACAGAAAACACTGATAGTTTGATGCATATGTAGCTCGATCATTGAAAAGGTTATCTCCAGTGAAAAAAGTGTGTTCTATTGCCCTCTTACCTTCCCAATGAGCTCTCCCAGGTCCAGCTGTTCGAAGGGAATGTCCCACTCCTGCAGGTAGACACTGGTCTGGCTGGCCTTACGGGAGATGGGTCCTTTCCAGCGACCTCCCCGTGAGCTGGGCAGGTCATCCAACTCATCACCATCACACTCACCGTCCGAACCCCCATTCAGCCCACTCCCACTCCCATCCCCATCATCATCTTCATCCTCCTCATCTTCCTCCTCCTCTACTGGGTCTGGGTCAATCTCAGGTTCAACCTCCTCCTCCTCTTCCTCCTGTAAGATATTCATGCATGGTCAATGTTTGGTTTTGGGCATGTGTCTGCACATATGTTACAGTTACTTTGCACACACACACACACACACACACACACACACAGTTTTTACCTCTCCGTCCTCATCCTCAGCCAGTTCAGCGTGCATGTCATCTGCTGGTTCAGTCTCACTGTTGGGACAGGGTAAACCACAGTCACAATGTCAGAGTGTGCTGAGTATTGCACCATTAAAACACTATTGATAAATTAAATAGACAAGCGAGCCTTACACTGTGTCCTGGAGGGCTTCAGAGTGCAACATAGTGGAACTGGACACATCTGGGAGAAAATAATACAAATATGAAGTATGCAATAAAAGTATTTTTGCTTGTAAAGCCAAACTTGCATCCCTCATGCAGTTTCTTTGCCCACTTATATTGGCCCCTTGCCATAGCAATGTGTTGACAACCACCACCACCACAATATGATAACACATGCAATTCTGAAACTCCCCAGCAGGTGGCACAGAGACCCATCTCCACATGAGATAATGCAGTCTAAATATCACACAGCACAACACATTGTTCCAAGGCATTCACAAATGCACCACTTGGTCATATAATTCACTAAGCCTGTGAATACATGCAGGAGATAGAGAGAGTTGACAGGGTTGGTTGGGGCTGGGGATGTGGGCAGGAGTGAGCGCCGCACAACAGTCTGTCTGGGACTGTACCGTAAACTCACCAGGGAAGATAAACTGCTGTCTATGCTGAAAGTAGCAGGCAGCTTAGGGAAAAGAGAGGGAATAACCAACAAGCATGGAGAGGAGAGAAGGACTCTGGGTTAGAGTAGCCATTAAAACAACCCTAGTCACACCCACCCACCCACAGGAGTTCTTTTGTGTTAGTGGTATTAATGTGAGGACGGCCACTGCTGTCCGGCCATTCCACTCCAAGTCAAGCATTCACTAAACAGAAAATGTGACTCAGGGAGACATTCTGTGTAATCAAGAACACAATGCAAGCATGCAACTTGATAGTGGGAGTATGCTGGCTTAACTGTGTGCAGTGGACATGCTTGTGTGGTTGTTTATATATCAGTGTGTGTATATTCATGTGTGTGTTTGTGTGTGAGAGCGAGAGACAGAGACTCCAGGTGATTGTGTGTATTTGGGTATTTGTATAGGTGTGTGAGTGATGGTGAGGGACCTACCTGGGAAGTGGAAGCGGTTCTCCCGGTGGCCCTTGGGCGAAGGGTTGGGGGGCGGGGTGGCACTGGGAGGGTTCTGGAAGGGGGCAGGGGAGGAGGGCGTGGAGGAGGTGGTGGAGGACGGATTACTGCTTGAGTCCAACTGGTTCAGCACAGGGGGGTGATCCTGAGAGAAGGAGAACAAATACACACTGATCAGAGTCAATAACACACCTGTCTGTCCTAACAGCATCATGCACATGATTATCATCAAAGCTGTGATGTAATATCTAAGCAGGTGTGATTGGCTCTACCTTTTTGGTGATGGCCTTTGGTAGTGTGCCAAACTGTGGTGCCTCTGATGGCCGGTCCACAGGGTTGTTGATGTCAGACGGCACAGACTCAGTCCTCCGGATTTTGGTGACTGGAAAGAAGAGATTGGGATCATAACCCTAATACTTGTTGAATCTATTTAGCAGGTTGACGTTTATTGGGATGAGTCTTGTCCTGGAGGTAGAACTGAGCAATTTCTGTTAGATGTGCCAGCTGCAAAGTCAAAATTGTCTATATTGTAAAAATGTATGAAAACAAAAATTAGCTTTTTTGTTCTTAATTTAAGGTTAGACTTTGGCATTAGGGTTTTTTATATTTTATTTTATTTTATTTCACCTTTATTTAACCAGGTAAGCCAGTTGAGAACAAGTTCTCATTTACAACTGCGACCTGGCCAAGATAAAGCAAAGCAGTGCGATAAAAACAACAACACAGAGTTACATATGGGGTAAACAAAACATAAAGTCAAAAATACAACAGAAAATATATATACAGTGTGTGCAAATGTAGTAAATTATGGAGGTAAGGCAATAAATAGGCCATAGTGCAAAATAATTACAATTTAGTATTAACACTGGAATGATAGATGTGCAAGAGATGATGTGCAAATAGAGATACTGGGGTGCAAATGAGAAAAATAAATAACAATATGGGGATGAGGTAGTTGGGTGGGCTAATTTCAGATGGGCTGTGTACAGGTGCAGTGATCGGTAAGGTGCTCTGACAACTGATGCTTAAAGTTAGTGAGGGAGATAAGAGTCTCCAGCTTCAGAGATTTTTGCAATTCGTTCCAGTCATTGGCAGCAGAGAACTGGAAGGAATGGCGGCCAAAGGAGGTGTTGGCTTTGGGGATGACCAGTGAGATATACCTGCTGGAGCGCATACTACGGGTGGGTGTTGCTATGGTGACCAATGAGCTAAAATAAGGCGGGGATTTGCCTAGCAGTGATTTATAGATGGCCTGGAGCCAGTGGGTTTGGCGACGAATATGTAGTGAGGACCAGCCAACAAGAGCGTACAGGTCACAGTGGTGGGTAGTATATGGGGCTTTGGTGACAAAACGGATGGCACTGTGATAGACTACATCCAATTTGCTGAGTAGAGTGTTGGAGGCTATTTTGTAAATGACATCGCCGAAGTCAAGGATCGGTAGGATAGTCAGTTTTACGAGGGCATGTTTGGCAGCATGAGTGAAGGAGGCTTTGTTGCGAAATAGGAAGCTGATTCTAGATTTAACTTTGGATTGGAGATGCTTAATTTGAGTCTGGAAGGAGAGTTTACAGTCTAACCAGACACCTAGGTATTTTTAGTTGTCCACATACTCTAGGTCAGACCCGTCGAGAGTAGTGATTCTAGTGTGGGTGGGCGGGTGCCAGCAGCGTTCGATTGAAGAGCATGCATTTAGTTTTACTAGTGTTTAAGAGCAGTTGGAGGCTACTGAAGGAGTGTTGTATGGCATTGAAGCTCGTTTGGAGGTTTGTTAACACAGTGTCCAATGAAGGGCCAGATGTATACAAAATGGTGTCGTCTGCGTAGAGGTGGATCTGAGAGTCATCAGCAGCAAGAGCGACATCATTGATATACATGGAGAAAAGAGTCGGCCCAAGAATTGAACCCTGTGGCACCCCCATAGAGACTGCCATAGGTCCAGACAACAGGCCCTCCGATTTGACACATTGAACTCTATCTGAGAAGTAGTTGGTGAACCAGGCGAGGCAGTCATTTGAGAAACCAAAGCTATTTAGTCTGCCAATAAGAATGCGATGGTTGACAGAGTCGAAAGCCTTGGCCAGGTCGATGAAGACGGCTGCACAGTACTGTCTATTATCGATCGCAGTTATAATATCGTTTAGGACCTTGAGCGTGGCTGAGGTGCACCCATGACCAGCTCGGAAACAGGATTGCATAGCGGGTTAGCAGTGTGGTTAAGGTTAGGTTTAAAATCTGATTTTATGACTTTGTGGCTGTGCCAGTTAGTGACCACTCTGCAGAGCTACCTCCAGTACATGAGTCATCCCAATAAATGCTAACCTGCGAAAATGTGAGGAAGGCTTACTTGGCAGAAATGAGATTCTACAGGAGGGAGCTTCTTTAGTACACTTATTATGGCACTTTAACCTGCAGACAGGAAACAACCAATCAGAGAACAGCACAGAAAAACTAACCACCAAAAGAGGATGAAGTTGTATTTTACTGCATTGTACAGCCACTCAACCTAACTCCAGAACATCTCAGAGAACCCCCCTCCCTCTCCTCCTCTTCATGTTTCCTCATTTCACTCACCTACAGTGTTTACACTTCACCCCAAACATCATGTTCTTCTGACACACCTGACATGTCTGGGACAGCCACGACTTGGTGGAAAACCTTCACACAGAATCATCAATTGCTTAAACCACCAATAGTTTTTTTGCTCTATCTACTGCCGATTGAAAGTATATTTCATATTTTTATCATGGTAGTCTGAGGCTTAAAGGTGTAGTCGCCAACCTGTGAGTGACGGCCAGGCCTATGTCTCTGCTCATTGCCTGTGGGGAGCTGCGGTGCAACCCCATGTTATCTGTAGAGAGACAGAGATGTCAAACACTAGTAGATAAACATAAACCTAGACAGAGGAGGATTTGTATAAACATTAAGTATTAGCGCAAAAACTGCAAATGTTCTTTGAAGTTTAGAGGCTAGTATCAAAATGAAATTAGTGGTGCTTAGAGAAATGCTAAATTTTGGTACCTTTCCCAAACTTCCCAACATTTCCAGAAATCCTGGTTGGAAGACTCCTGGAAGTTCCCAGAATTTTGCAACCCTAGTGCTGTTGCTTACCACTTGCTACTTTATGTGCCAAAACCAATTAAAAACATTTACTGTTTATTTTACAAGTTAGAACAAATTTAAATGAGACCTATTGACGTTGGTTCGGTAGGTGAATCACCTACACATAAATAAAATCAAAATGGAAAGATACGGATGCAAAAGCAGTCACACACACTCACACAACACACATGCTCAACACACACACTCAGTCAGTCGCTCTCACAGACACAAATTTGTGGGAGTATTAGATTTCTCTCTAAGCTGTCAAATGAAGTGGAGGATTAACGTCATCTCTACAAGCGATGAGGTCAGAGAACGCTCTCCCCACATCACAGCCCTCAGATGGAACTACCCCAGCAATCTACAGACTGAACCATACACTGCATCTGAGCCAAACTGGGATGGCTACTGTGGCCCTACAGCCAGCTACTGGCTTAACAAAGAGCACACATACACAAATGGTCCATTCTATTGGAGTAGTTCACCATGCATTTACCAATCTACTTAAAGGAAGATTCCTTGCATAAAGCCGAAGTGGGGAAAGTAGACGTGTGTGAACTCACTCTTGAGGTGGGATGAATGCTCCTCCATCAGGGTAGGGGTGCCAGGTAGGGTGTAGGGGGCGGTGGCGGGGGCAGGGGTGGAAGTCCCGGGGGTGCGAGCAGACAGGTGGGGGGAACGGGAGGGTGAGTCCTCACAGCCATTCCCATTGATCTGAACGTTGAGGAACAACTTATTCTGCTTTGCACACCTGAGGGGAAAAAATAACACACTGGGACGTCAGTACAGTGGCACACTGCTGCCCCCACACCCTCATCTCAACACAGTCAACACTGGATAACTCAATGACAATCCAAAATGGCCACCATACAGATCACCAAATGTAATCATTTAATGGCCATACTGTACCAGCCATGTTATGCAAGTGGCAGAGAGGAGATGAGCGAGGCAGAGAGGCAGACAGGAAAGGAGGGAAGCAGTAACAGCAGGCCTTGGCACAACCTCCACCACAGCAGAGCACAGGCCAAAGGGCTTAACGTCCTCTGCCTGGCACTGGGTCAGGAATGCAGAGTGCTGATCAAGCAGCACGCAGCCCCACTGCCTTCCTGCCTGCTCTCTCTGGGCTCTATACACAGTGGAAAAGGCCTGTGTCTCCCTATGCCCCCGGTCACACTCATCAGTGTCCTCACAGGCTAGGTCTGTGGTCATACACTATATACTTTATATGGAAGTATACCGTATGTATGTATCATTAAGCTGTATTATCAGTCCTGTTTAAATACTTCTGTCTAGTCAGGTTCCATTCATTACGGCTGAGCTTTTCATCCCTAATGCTACAGTTACAAATGAACAGGATATTATGGATATGTTGTAGTACTGTATGTGTGTGTATGTATGTGTGGGAAAAGTGTGTGTGTGTGTTTCTGTGTCTTGCCCACCTTTGAGAATCAGGCTTTAGAAATGACTAAATCTCAGGGAATTAGCTCTGACGGTATACTGTACACATTAAGGCAGCAACGGGCATAACCTTTTACTCTAGGTCATAATGGACTGGACCTCTCACAAAGCATAGGGGACAGGAAGTGACCTACTTGTTGGTGGGCGGCTCCTCGATGCGGTTCCCCAGCTGGGACTCGTGGCTCTTGCTGCGGGTCAGGGTGATGTTGGGCAGGAGGTGCAGCACCTTGCGGGAGGGCGGCGGCGGGGTGCATGGGGGCTTCAGCCTGTGGCGCCTCTTGGAGGGCGGGGTGATGGGCGGGGTGGAGGTGTGGCCATAGAGTCGCCCCTGGCGGGCCGCAGAGAGGGGGAAGGGGTCTGTGAAGGGGCTGTCAGCGTAAACGTAAACGTACGCCCCATGGGCCTCGGGACCGGGCATTGTAGACACGGAGCCGGACCGGGGGTGGGCACAGGCGGTGCAGGGGGTGGAGGGAGTGGATGGGGTGGTGGGGGGCCGAGCTAGGGGAGAGGGGCTGTGGGGGCGCATCGGACCCCACATTCCTCCCATCAGCTGGTCGGCAGGGAGCAGCAGAGAGCCACTGTCTCGCCGGGTGGGCTCAGAGAACCAGAGTCCCCCATCCTCTCTCAGCTCCCCATCTGTAGGGGAGACACAGAACAGGGTTACAGACCACTACCACACACCAATCGGTCTTCCACCCCACAACCCCTCAACCGAGTGTCTTCTGTCCTACAACATAACCTTACCCCGGGTGGCAGCCTGTTGCTGCTGACGGGGATAATAGAGCAGAACCAGCCTGGCACCGAGACCAACAGTCAGTAAAACCCCACAGAGACCCTAGACTGACATGGCAGATCAGGCAGACTCTCCAAGGTACAGCCAGACACCCACCCACCTGATTCAGTGGCACTCTTCAGGCAGGAGAGGGCAGTGCTGAGCCTGGCACTCTCCTCTGAAGTGGAGCCCAGTCTCCTCATGGTCTCCTGCACCTGAGAACCTGGCATCTGCAGCAAGGCATCCAGGGACAGCTTCACGGGCACCGCCTGGAGAGAGGAGAAGAATGAGACAAGGTCAGGAGGGGGTGAGTGATTAGTACCTCCACACAGTATCCAGTCACACCTCTCCATACAGTACAATGTGACAGAGCAACATAAAGACCGTATACATCTTACACTAGTACGCTAGAATCCAACTCGCCTATGCTAGACACAAAAGGTGATCATTGTTAATTCTCATAAACCAAAGCCAGCCAGCCCATATGTCTAGCTCCAGTTATGTCCACAGAGCAGGCCAAGACAGGCCAGGCCAGAACAGGCCAGGAGCAGAGACCAGTAAGTACTGACTGACTGACTGGCCAAAGCCCCCTGGAGCCTCCCATCCAGCCAAGAGGCCGGACAACAAATGGCACGAGGAGGAGGACACAGAAACTCAGAACAATGAGGGTATTTTAACAAACGCTCCAACTTCTGGCTGGAAATAGTGATTTGATTCCATTAGTAGGTGGTGGCACAGCAGCGTGACAGTTAATGTCACTGGCTAAGTGAGACAGAGTTTGTCTCTCTCTGGGGCTTCGCTCTCTGGAATAGGAATAGACCTGCTGGTATGGACCGCTTTAGTTTTAGCCTCTGGGTGTCCTAGAACTGCAGAGAGACCTCTTCCTTCTCTCAGTGTGGCAGTGGCTTAATGTAAAACCCAGTGGTGTCATTACTGAGCCCTGTGGTACTCCTCTCTGATGTGCGGTTAGGAGTTGAGAGGCTTGGCAGACAGACAAGCTCTGCCCACACCCATGCCATCGTTGTTCCGCATCTCCTCCTCATCCTGTTCCTGGACAGTCGTCATAATCCGTATCCTGCCTATTTGGGTGTTTCTCCCAGTCCAGACACGTGACCTCTTAGTGCATCTGTGCATCACACAGTACCTAGAGTCTGTGTGCACTTTAAAACTGCCTCCCAAATGAAAAAGTAATGCAAAATGGTGAGAATTTATTCAATGGTCAATAGAAGATAACTACTGTGGCAATAGTTTTTTAATTTAAATTATTCACAAGCCTGCGAGTTATAGCCTGTATTGGTTTCTGACTTTTGGTCACCTTCTTGAAGTGTGCAATTAGAGAAGTGTGTACCTGGAGTATGCTGTCTAACAACATTAGTTATGTTTGTACTTCAGACATACATTTGACTCCTCATCCTATGGGTTGACTACCTGCTATATTCCAGCCTATCTTACCAGCCACTCCCCGACCCACGCAATGTCTCACAGGTAAGCTGTACGCAATAACAATGTCCTCAGGACAAGCTGTGAGCATGTGTACAAATACAATGTTACCACAGCTAGGTGCAACCAGGAGACATGAGAAATGAGAAGAGATCCACTCACACAGCTGGGTCTAGTGCTTCATTCTGGATCACCACTGGCACAAACCAACCAACACTGCAGGCTGCCCAACACAGTCCTGGGATTTGCCTTCAGAAAGTATTCACACCCCTTGACTTTTTACATATTCTGTTATGTTACAAAGTGGGATTAAAATTGATTTATTGTACTTTTTGTCAACAATCCACACACACACACACACAAGACTCTGCAATGTCAAAGTGGAAGACAAATTCTATGATTTTTAACGAATGTATGAAAAATAAAACACTAATATATCTTGATTAGATAAGTATTCAACCCCGAGTCAATACTTCAGAGTCGACTTCGGCAGTGATTACAGCTGTGAATGTTTCTAAGACCTTTCCACACCTGGATTGTGCAATATTTGCCCATTATGCTTAAAAAAAGTATTCAAGCTCTGTCAAATTGGTTGCTGATCGTTGCTAGACACCCATTTTCAAGTCTTGCCATAGATTTTCAAGCCGATTCAAATCAAAACTGTAAGTAGGCCACTCATTCAATGTGATCTTGGTAAGCAACTCCAGTGTATATTTGGCCTTGTGTTTTAGGATATTGTCCTACTGGAACATGAATTTGTCTCCCAGTGTCTGTTGGAAAGCAGACAACCAGTTTTTCCCTCTAGGATTTAGCCTGAGCTTAGCTTTATTAGGTTTTTTTAATCCTAAAAAATAACTCCCTAGTCCTTGCCGATGACAAGCATATATATCCATAACATGATGCAGCCACCACCATGCTTGAAAATATGAAGAGTGGTTCAGCGATTTTGTTGGATTTGCCCCAAACATTACACTTAGTATTCAGGACAAAAAGTATTTGTCAAAAATGTCTTTGGCAAAAAAAATTCCAGTATTACTTTAGTGCCTTATTGCAAACAAGACGCATGTTTTGGAATATTTGTATTCTGTACAGGCTTCCTTCTTTTAACTCTGTCAATTAGGTTAATATTGTGGAGTAACTACAATGTTGTTTATCCATCCTCAGTTTTCTCCTATCACAGCCATTAAACTCTGTAACCGTTTTAAAATCAACATTGGCCTCATGGCGAAATCCCTGAACGGTTTCCTTCCTCTCTGGCAACTGAGTTAGGAAGGACGCCTGTATCTTTGTAGTGACTGGGTGTATTGATACACCATCCAAAGTGTAATTAGTATCTTCACCATACTCAATGGGATATTCAGCGTCTGTTTTTCTTTTTCTTTTCACCCATCTACCAATAGGTGCCATTCTTTGCGAGGCATTGGAAAACCTCCCTGGTCTTTGTGGTTGAATCTGTGCTTGAAATTCACTTCTCGACTCCGGTACCTTACAGATAATTGTCTGTGTGTGGTACAGAGATGGGGTAGTCATTAAAAAATTATGTGAGTCCATGTAACTTATTATGTGACTAGTTAAGCGAAAACCCGCAGACACTAGGCCCTCCATGAAATGTGTTTACACATGCTGTAGATGAAGAGCTCTACCCATATTCCAGTGAGAGGATTCCACCATTTCCACAACCCTCAACTCACATGAATAACCCCACTATCCCTCCCTTCCCCCTTCTCTCCCTCCCTCCTCCAGTGCAGATCCAGGCACACAGCTCAGTAGCCAGAGACACAGAGAGAAGAGGCTGAGAACCTGACTGGGTGGGGGTTAGAGTGTGGGTGGGTACGACTCTACAGGGGGGGGCTACAGTCTGCCTGCTCCCCATAAAGTGCTGATGTCAGCCTGGCTAGCCCAGGGCAGGTAACTCACTGGCCAGGTCTAACCCTCACTCACAGTTCAACACAGGTGTGATCACAGAGCCAAGAGGAGATTAACACCCTTTTCACCCCCTACTGGCCTGAAGCACATTGTGTGGATGGGAATTAACCCTGTAACCTTACAGAGCCAAAATCATTGTCTCACCATCCTCAACAAGCTGAGAAGATTTTTCTGGAAATACTGTATCTAAGGCAAGAACATACTCCAGAAAGGTTCCTTTTCGAGTAACAAAAAACATTCACTTGCTTACAGATATGTTCGGCTATTGTTCTGGGTAACAAGCAATGTGTAGAAGCAGTCTCACCCAGTTGGAAGGTTTACAGGAGGGCTGTCACAAGGAGGCTTTTTGCATCACTTGCAACTACGCACATAAGATACACACAGACCTGCAAGAAGCTCCCAACTTGATATCCACAGATCGGCTGGTTATGTAACATTATGTACATAATGAACACAAAGAGACAAGCTCCTTTGTTGGCTGAGTACACCCCCAAACAGTGAGCATGCAGGCATGCAGCACTGGTGGATTCTAGGTCAGCTGTGCCTTCATGGTTCACACCATAGAGATCCTAGTATTGTAATTCCTAATTCTATGGTTCACACTGTCACTGAAGTGGGTCACAGCACCCAGGATGCAGCAGCAGAACTGCTGGAATGGCTGACTGATGGGAGTTGTACTGTAACAGTCCTATCAGTGATCAATCTGTTGCCATGCTAAAGTCATTTCAACGTGTTGGATGGAAGAGGACATCATAAAGCTTCACTATAAGCACAAAAGCCCGATGGCATCCCTGGTACTTAGTAGGCTGCCTTTCTGTCCTATCCTGCTTGCCGTTTGTTCACAAGGCACAGACAGACCACTCACTGGCCAATGACTAAAAATAGAGCAATGATGGTGAGAGCATGAAAGAGAGACAACAACGTAAGAGAGATGAGAGGGCGAGAGAGAGAGCATCAGAGAGACAACATGAGAGAGAGAGAGCACATAAGAGAGATGAGAGAAAGAGACAGACAGAGAGAGAGAGAGAGAGAGACAGAGACAGAGTCTGCACATTCTGTGGATTAGGGGTGGTGCCGTATCTGGGGTCCATCCAGAGTGTGAGGAATGTGACGGGAGCCTCTCAGTCAAAACAACGCTGGTAAGTGAACAACAGAGCACCACTCTCCCCTGCCCTGCCCTCTCCAGGCCTGGCCACAGCCTTGCCAGTATCCAGCCTGGCTGGCTGGGACTGCGCATGCCTGGGGGACTGGGGGGCCTAATTAGAGCTGTGGACATGCAGATACAGTAAAGCCTGGCTGGAGCAGCAGCCAACAGTGGTCTAGCCTCTCTGTATGGTCCCCTACAGTGGGTTTGAGACGTGTCTCTCTCTCTCATCTTCTTTATAAGGTATGCTGGTAATTTTGTGAAATACGAGAATCATTAAACATTCTTGGTTTGTGGTTTCAGAATTGAGACAAAATATGCAACCCTGGAAAGTTATTTGTCTCTGTACGAATCTTCTGCCATTTTAAATTGCCTTTGGTTACAACAGTATAATTTCTTAGAACACTAAATTGCATGATTTAAGATTCATGAGGCTGCAAACCCATAAAAGTGCAGATATACTCTATACTTGCTATCCTTACAAACCATCCTTTCATATTTCACATTAAGAGTCAAATGTAGTCATGTCATCCCCCATACAGCATTCAACCAGCACATTTCATACCAAGATACAGCTAGAACTGAACAGACATAAAGGTACATACTGGATGACAAGAATGGAACGGATCCATCAGTGTCTGACTAGGCAGGGCAAACCAGTTTTGGTGATGATTTCTGGTAGATCATCAAAATAAATCAATCACAGCACGTTTTTGGACTCATTCATCAGTTTTTACTTGATTAAGTACAATACCATCGGAAATTATTCCTACAACTTAACTGGAAAATTATGCTTGCAATACATATTGATAAATATCCCAATGTCAAAACAAAGTTTGCGCT